AGATCTAATCGATTTTTTTCTGGCTCGGCTATCCTACCTAGTCGAGCCATTCACCTTTATGATACTGAACCAGAAAAAGCAATAAAAACATAAATGGATTCACCGAGAAAAGGAGAGAGAGGGATTCGAACCCTCGATAGTTCGCAAAGAACTATACCGGTTTTCAAGACCGGAGCTATCAACCACTCGGCCATCTCTCCGAAAGATAATTTCTATTTTACTATTTTATTTTTATTCCGCAGAATAGAACACGGCCGTAGGAGTTGATATCGTCGCTGTACTATAGAAAGATATTGGGTGTGAGTCGATGAGTCTATCTATATATTCTAGATAGATGTAGGATCTAGAATAACCATTTGTGAAATAAAAAAGGACTCTCAACTCTATGTTCGAATAAAGTGGGAAAGGGGTGGAAATAAGTCATATAGAATCAATGGATTCATGGTATAATCCCCCCATGATGCATTTTTTTGCCTGATAGAGGGATCAAATGGTATAGTTCTTTTGTTGGTAGCTTGGAGGATTAGAAACATGACTATTGCTTTCCAATTGGCTGTTTTTGCATTAATTGCTACTTCGTCAATCTTACTAATTAGTGTACCTGTTGTTTTTTCTTCTCCTGACGGTTGGTCAAGCAACAAAAATGTTGTATTTTCCGGTACATCATTATGGATTGGATTAGTCTTTCTGGTAGGTATTCTTAATTCTCTCATCTCTTGAACCCAGATACAAAAATGGAAAAGACCCCTCCCCAATTCTTTAGAGTTGCGAGACACATTTAAATTCAATAAAAGTCCTCAAAATACAAAAAAAAATTAGAGGGAGGGGTCAAACTTTCTTATAATTTGTATGTAATTTGTAAATGAAAGTAAATGTAAAATTAAGTGTAATTTGATAAAAAAAATTATATTATTAGAAAATCATTCTAAATTCTAATTTAGAATAATAAATTATAAGAAATTCTAAATGAAATTTTTAATAAATTCTAAATGAATATAAATTTTAATTATATTAAAATGGAATAAAAAATGAAATGTATTATATAAATGGATTATATAAATCTATTAATTAAATAGAATAGGAATATATTAAATAGCTAATAGGAATATAATAGGAATGGTCCTGAAAAGAATATCTGGCATAGCTATTCACAAATATGATCCAGGTACTGCGTGTCAATATCAAGACAAAAAAATGCGGATATAGTCGAATGGTAAAATTTCTCTTTGCCAAGGAGAAGACGCGGGTTCGATTCCCGCTATCCGCCCAAGGAAATTTATTTAATAGGATTTTATTTAATAGGATAAAGGATTCAGTATAGTTGACCCTAATAGTCTAATTTTTTTATCCCCTACCCTCTTTTCTCCCCCTCAAAAAAAAGAAAAATGGTAATTAATTACTTACTAGTTAACAGGGACAATCCTCATTTTTTTTTGTCAAAAAAATGTTGCGGAGACGGGATTTGAACCCGTGACCTCAAGGTTATGAGCCTTGCGAGCTACCAAGCTGCTCTACCCCGCGTGATGGAGAGAAGAAGTGGGAACTAATGGACAAACAAGGATTGAATGCGCCCCTCTACCATATCTGTACAAATAGAATAGCACATTTATACAGAATGGTAAAGAGGCTCCTCTATGATCGATGATCATAGAAATGACTAGAAAAATGAAGGAAAATTTGGAATCTTTACCAACTTGATCTTGTTGCCCCCGGCAACAAACATGCATGAACCATTTCACGAAGTATGTGTCCGGATAGCCCAAAGTCTCGATAATTAGCTCTTGGTCTTCCAGTCAAAAAACAACGTCGATGAAGACGTGTTGGTGCACTATTTCGCGGTGGGGATTGTAACTTTCCATGAATTTCCCATTTATCACTCAACGACGGAACTTTGCTTATTTCTTTTTTTGAGGATCGACGAATCAAATGATATTTTTGTTCCAATTTTTGCCTCTTCTTCTCCCGCTGAATCAAACTTTTCCTTGCCATAATGTTTCACTTCCTATTAGTATCGCTGATACAAGTCGGATCCTAGATGTAGAAATATATAAAATAACCTTTTCCATCGAAAGAAATGATATTCTCGCGGATACAGCACATAAAAGAATTAACCAAATTTGCCCGATGTAGAGGCAATCAAGAAAGCCGCATAAGTGAAGATATAACCTACCGAAAAGTGGGCTAATCCAACCAATCTTGCTTGCACAATGGAAAGAGCTACTGGTTTATCTCTCCATCGAATCAAATTAGCCAAGGGCGTACGTTCATGAGCCCATGCTAAAGTTTCAATCA